TTTTTTTTTTGGGGGGGGGGGCGTCAAAATGCATCTTCGCCTGTGTAGTCAAAAATCCTAGCACCGGCCCTGATCCCCATAATCAATGATTGGCATCAGCATTTGCTGTACAATCTTTTCCTTTACTGTAGGGCTTAGGCAGGATTGGTTTCTGTACAGGGCACCTACTTTTGGATAAAGTTTAGATGCAAGTTTTTCTATGTGGAGGCCAAAAGATAGATTGGGGTCTAACATCATACCCAAGTATTTGAAAGAGTGGACTGCGGTCAGTGTGCTATTTGAATTTGTTTTGATGGATAGGTGGGAATTGTGTAATTTGTGTTATTTAGGTACTGTTCCAAAGATCATTGTGACAGTTTTGTCAGTGTTTAGGAAGAGTTTGTTTTTTGCAATCCACTTTTCTATCTCTGTAAACTGGTCTTGGAGCACAGGCTCAAGCTGTGGTAGATTGGATTTGCTCGTATAGATTACTGTGTCATCTGCGTACATGTGTACATTTTGAGGATTTGCAGACATTAGGCAGATCATTTATAAATAATGTAAATAGTAGGGGGCCAAGAATGGAACCTTGGGGAACACCACATGTGACTGGGAGAGGGAGGGAGTCGCTGTCAGAATTGGACACATATTGCGAGCGATCTGATACATATGATCGAAACCAGGTTAGCGGACAATCACCAATACCTGACTTTTTGAGTTTGTGCAGTAGAATGTCGTGGTCTACTGTGTCAAAGGCCTTTGCAAAATCAAGGAAAATAGCTCCAGTTAGGTCTCCTTGTTCCATGACAGTTTGGATGTCATTGCAAACTTTTAAGAGGGCAGTTGTAGTAGAGTGATTCTGGCGAAAGCCCGATTGATCAGGGGTCAGATAGTTGGATTGTTAGTAGTACTCACATAGTTGCGTAGGGACACATTTTTCTAAGATTTTTGACAATACTGGGAGCAATGATATTGGGCGATAGCTAGAAACCAAAGTAGTTTCACCACTTTTATGGATAGGCACTACTCTCGCAGTGTTACAAATTTTGGGTATGTATCCAGACACCAAGTATTCGTTAATTAGGGTTGCGACGGGTTTAGCAATTGCTGGCACACTGAGCTTCAACAGCATTGCTGGGATTTGATCAGGTACAGACTGTTTGTGCTTTTCATTTTTAGATTATATAGGTGTTTTTTAACGACACTAATGGGTACAGGACTAAAAATGAACTTGTCTATATTGGGCCTTTGCAAATTTAGTGGTGCCTGATCCACATTTGTAGTTTCAGGATGCGTGTCATTTATTAGCTTGGCAATCAGGGCAGTAGAGCATCGACAAAATAATTGTTAAAGGCATTTGCTACATCTAAGGGAAATTGCAGGGTTTGGTTATCCACTTTGACAGTGGAGGGTTGGGAGTGGATTGGGGGAGTTTGTAATTTATTTATGACTTTTCAAAAGTTTCTAGGGTTTGATAGGTTATTGTTCAGATTTTTACAGAAATATTGGGCCTTGGCCAATTTTGTTTGTTTTGTGCATATATTTCGCCTTTGTCTATATGCACAGTGATCATTCAGAGAGCCAGTACGCTTGAACTTTGACCACAAAGATTCCTGAAACTGGTACATTTGGATGAGGTCAGCTGTGATCCAGTTCATATGTGCTCCTTTTTCCCTCACCTTACGCAGTGGGGCATGAAAATTCCAAATTTGTAGGAGTTCAGACTGAAAGAATTCAACAGCACAGTCTAGATCTGGGATAATGTTTAATCTGTGCCATGGGAGGTTCTTGATGTCATTAAGAAAGGATTCAAGATTAAATTTTTTGAAGGACCTGGTGATTTTAACCTTGGGAGAGGATTTTATAGCCTTTATTTTGCGCACAAAGTACACTAAACTGTGATCACTGAAACTGTTTGGGAGAACACCAGCCTCCTGGATTTTATCAGGAGAAGTGGAGAGAATCCAATCAAGCAGGGTATGGTTATGGCTTTTAATGCTTATGCACGTTGGGGAGGAAATTAATTGCGTTAGCTGCAAAGTCTTAAACAGCGTGCGAGAACTATTATTTTTAGGATTCAGCCAATCAATATTAAAATCTCCAAAGACCAACAGTTCACTTTTTGGGTTTTGAGCTATATTTTATAAAAGATTCATAAGCAAAAATTAGGGATTTCAAACCGGATAATATTACTGAGAGAATAGAGCTCATTCAGTTGAAATGACCAAATATTTACCAGATTTGCTGTTGGTAAGCATGTGAGTGGTTAATCTGGTTGAAATATGGTAACTTTCACAAAATTGTGACCATCCTAACAAAATTGCATAGTGAATAACTCACAATGAGCCACATTTTTTCAGCAACTGGTTTATTTTAGCAACGCTATATACACTTCACATGGTTAATCTAATCTTTCCAGCCACACATTAGAATTTAAAAGTTAACACAAAAATAATAAATGATATGATTGGAAAGGAAATTTTCAGAACATCCCTATTTAGGCAAATCTGGCTTATTGACAAAAAGGCAGCAGAACAATATTGATGTCTTCATACAATATATTTTGTAGTAGTCACAAAAATAAACAAACTTTGTCCTCCACATAAATTCTTTTGTTTTTCTTGTGGTCTAAGCCATAGTTTCTCTGTTTTGTGGTAAATTGGTGGTTTATTGTTTTTAGCTTTCAAAGCTTAATAAAGATAAAACAGTTTACAGTACATTAGAGAGAAGTATTTGAAAGTTGTCATATAAAACAAAACAGATATATAAACTATAAGCATACATTGAAAGAGCTGTGTTGTACAGCATATCAAAGTTAAACTAACAATGGGATACTCTAGTGCAGGGATAGGCAACTTTTGGCACTCCAGATGTCGGGGACTACACCCCACATAATGCTCCTACAGCCATAATGCTGGCAAATCATCATGGGAGGTGTAGTCCAAAACATCTTGAGTGCCAAAGGTTGGCTATGCCTGCTCTAGGGCATGTTCAAACAAGGTGTAGGCAGGTGTTACTAGCCTTTACTCTGAAGCGTGAAAGAAAGGCATGATGCAACATGGGCGTAGAGAAAAAAAATAGGAATAATACATCAATTTAGAGCGTAAGTGATGAGGAAACCTTATGCAGCTCCAAACATATTCATGATTCACCAGTCCTCCTTCAGTTAGCATAGTGAAAGATGAATATAGCCTATGTTATGACAAAAAAGAGCAATTAACATCTCGGTGTATGAGGAAATGCAGACGTACAAAACTGTGTCGAGGACCAATGCCATCCTGCACCCATATTAACAGAAGCAGAAATTAAAGTAACTGCATTGTAAAGCATGTCGAAGTTAAACTAAAAATGTGGCACGGAAAAAACAAGGTGTAGGCAGATAGGTATAATGCAACATGTGCAGAAAAAAATAAGAATAATACAATTCAGAGTGTAAGCAATAAGGGAAAACCTTATGCAGCTTAAAAACCCATATGTAATTTACCATAGGATATATCACATGTGACCTTTATTATCAGTAATAATAAAAAATGAGGACAACTTGTTTTGTTTGTTTTGTACTTCAGTATAAATAAAAGGCAAATTTTTGAAAGTGATGTTTTACTAGAAAGTTCAGCACGTTTTCAGTAACCTAGGCCTAAATTTAGACTGTGGAAGGATGTGGCAACCAGACATTTTCAGTCATCACCCACTCATATACCAGGTGAAGGTATACAGTGCAAACAGGAAGCTCCTTGTGAATTTACATTGTACACATTTTTATCTCTAGTATATGCTATCCATTTTGCTATAAGATAGCCATGCATTCTCTCTCATAATGACTAGTGCTGCATCCTACACTGTCTAAAATGTGACTACATACTAAGCTTAAGGGATCACTAAGGACTTGTTTCCACTGTGGTTGCTAAATATCATACGTAAGTCATTATTATAACTAATGGTGACAGGTTTATTCACTTCCAATGACCTCTTCGGTCTGTTCTATAATATTTTTGGTCCTTAGAACCTTCAAGTAAATGTCATTTTCTACATGCTACACTGCATCAGTTCCATTAGGAAGTCATAGAGCTGATAGCAGAGACTTCAAATGAAGCAGTTCCACTTGGGGAGGGGGGGACAGGGGCATTGAAAAATGATTAATTAATGCATATGTTGCTGCAGTGCATTTTGCAAAAGTGATCCAGTTTCCTTTACCTTTTTCTCCATAAGGCTTTTCAATACTCGGCTTGCCATGAAGTCAGTAGAATCAGTAGGCCGTCTCTCTGTGTAGCCTCCTAACTCCCTCCTACTCCAACATTCTGTCTTTTGACTATCTGCCCCACCTTCCATGAACACTCTTCATGCCTTGTTATTTTAAATACGTGATAGGAAGAATTATTGGACACGATATGAGAGAGGGACATGAGTAGGGGTGGGATAGGAAATTGTAAAAAATATTGGACATGGTTTTTGGGAGAGATATTGGTAGGGTGGGGATCATTAAGAAGGAAAATAGATTTGATTAAGAGGTAAAGAAATACTAATATTCATTGTTTGCAATGTGTGCAATTCTGAATAGTTGAGGGTTGAACTTTTTTAAATAGTTGTTAGTTATCTACATTAGAAGCTCTCATGGGAATAGGGCCCTCATCTTCTCTTGTATTGGTTTGTCAAATGTTGTATTGCCTTTACTGTACTTTACTATACTGTGTATTTGTATTTCTACCAATTCTACCCATGGACAGTGCTGCGTAAGGTGATGGCATTTGGCAAATAAAGTATAATAAAATAATATACTCATGTCTGAATAGTTTGTATTTAATGAGTTAAAAGTTGTTCATTTTGAAGAAGTTATTAATAAATATACACATTGAAATTAGATGTAATGTGTTGATGAGATAATTATTACAATTATAGAACCATGCATAGGTATATCATAACAACTTATCTATAATATAAACAACACTACATACAGAAGTAGTATTGACCAAATATAATTCAATAGTAATGGTTTACTTTTAAGTAGGAAAAGCAAATACAATAATAATGGCAGGTTTTAAATCAGTTGTTTTATTACATAAACGGTAATGTACAAATGGAGTCTCATTCTGTGAAGAAAAGAAAACAAATGAGGATATTAGTGATGTCGCGAACATGAAATTTTCGGTTCGCGAACCGCGAACGCGAACTTCCGCAAATGTTCGCGAACCGGGCGAACCCGGCGAACCGCTATAGACTTCAATAGGCAGGCGAATTTTAAAACCCACAGGGACTCTTTCTGGTGGGTGGGGGCCATAAAGATAATGAGGGGGGACCTACAGTCCTCCCCCTCTCCGGCCCCCACCCCTGTGCGGCGGGTGGGGGCCCTAAAAATAACAATAAGGGGGGGACCTACTGTCCCCCCCGGTCCCCACCCCTGAGCGGTGGGTGGGGGCCCTAAAATGAACAATAAGCGGGGGACCTATTGTGCCCCCCCGGCCCCCACCCCTGAGCGGTAGGTGGGGGCCCTAAAATGAACAATAAGGGGGGGACCTATTGTCCCCCCCTGGCCCTCACCCCTGCGCGGCGGGTGGGGGCCATATTGATAATGAGGGGGGGGGACCTACTGTCCACCCCCCCTCCGGTCCCCACCCCTGGGCGGCGGGTGAAGGCCATAAAGATAATGAGGGGGTGCCCCTACTGTCCTCCCCCCCGGCCCCCACCCCTGGGCTGCGGGTGGGGGCCCTAAGTAAATTCTTCCCCCCCCCAAGGTGACTAGGGGTCCCCAAGCCCCTAGTCACCCACCCCCCCAAATAAAAAGTCCCTACCTACCCCCCTCACCCTAAAAAATAGTGAGGGGGGAATAAAATAACTAACCTGTAAAATAAAATTAAACTTACCATTCGACGTCTTCTTTTTTCTCAAATCTTCATTTTTCAGCCCCAAAAAATGCCAAATAATCACACAGCCTCACGTCTGAGTAACAGGTTATCACGATCTCCTCCTGTTACTCAGACGTGAGGCTTTCTGGATATACACGTTGGAAACATTATCACCATCTGGTTTAAATGAGAAGAACTCATTATATTGTTATTTACCTAGAAGATAATATATGATTGAGCTATGTTTTACAGAATGCATTAATATAGTACAGTTATTTGCCATAACTCCATGATGGAAGTAGTCCATATCGCATATTGCTTCAAAATTACACTGACAATATTTTGCTATATAACTGAGTTAATATTTAGTTAATGACGATATGTACTATGTATCTATGTTCCCTTGGTTAGGGTTGAAACATTTGTATATACTTTATTTTTATAGTTATTTATCTTTTATTACTCTCTGACTTATCTACACAAGAGTATGTTTCACATACCAGGTACACATAGGGTTAACTTTAATTTATTATGTAATATAAACATGTTTACATCATTAATGACATCACTCTGATCCGTTGTTACATTTCACCTGTTCACCTCTAAATAGGATCACTGCATTTTTTGTATATAAGGTATCCATCTCCCATACACAATTGTCTTGAAAAAAGTATTTTACAGACTGAAACGTCGACTGGAACGTTGTGTGAATTTGTAATTGCTCAATAAAGCAACAGATGAAATTTACCTTGAAAGACTGAGTGCTCTCTACTGTATATATACACTTATCCATATACAAAATTACATAAATAATCTCATAAATATTCACGTAGACTTCAAATACTTCAAGTAATTTTATTGATTGCAATTTGAGGGACCTGCCTGACAACCAAGGCTGAAAGTCCAACAAATTTAATTTGCAAGCATTGTATTTAACCCTGTAATTTCTATGACATCCTAGAACCTGTTAATGGGGGGTACTGTTTTACTCTGGAGACTTTGGTAAACACAAATATTAGTGTTTCAAAACAGTAAAACATATCACAGCGATGATGTTGTCAGTGAAAGGGACGTTTTTTGCATTTTTCACACACAAATGGCACTTTCACTGATGATATAATTGTTGAGTATAACAGTACCCCCTCTTCCCCCCCCCCTTCCACCCGTGTACAGGGTTTATAGTGTTTTGAAAGTTACAGGGTCACATTTTTTTACATTGAAAATTGCCAGGTTGGTTATGTTGCCTTTGAGAGCGTATGGTAGCCCAGGAATAAGAATTACCCCCATGATGGCATAACATTTGCAAAAGAAGACAACCATATTGCAAATGTCCAGTCGTTTTCAGCAGCCACTTAGTCACAAACACTGGCCAAAGTTATCATTCATAATTGTTTTTTGCATTTTTAACACACAAACAAATAAAAATGCTAACTTTGGCCAGTGTTTGTGAATAAGTGGCTACTAAAAAAGACTGGGCATACCCCATATTGAATTCCCTGGGTTGTCTACTTTAAAAAAATATGTACATGTGAGGTGTGATTCAGAGATTTATGACAGATAATAGTGTAACAATGTCACTATTGATCAATTTAAAAAAATATATATATTGAAACAGCAATGTCCTACTTGTACTTATAGCCCTATAACTTTCACACAAAAAAAGCATGAAAGCACTGGGTGTTTTTAAACTCAGGACAAAAGTTTTAAACTATTTAGCAGTTTTTTTTTCATTAGCTTTTGCAGATAAGTAAAAGCTTTTTCAAGTAAAAGTAAAAAAACATGTTTTTTTCACTTTTTCACCTTTTAAAAAAAAGTAAATTATATGACATGATACAAATAATGGTATGCAAAGAAAGTCCTTCTTGTCCTGAAAAAAACCCCCAATATATAACTTGTATGGAAACAGTAAATGAGAGAGAGGTAAATTACAGCTAAACACAAACACCAAAAAAGTGTTAAAACAGCTCTTGTCCTTAATGTACAACATGGCCAAAACAGTCCAGTCCTGAAGAGGTTAATACAAAAGGAAAGATTCATTCATTGATCATGTCTGAACAGCTGTAATCGATCTGCATTGCAACACGGAAAATGGCAAACAGCAGAACTACAGCATATTGTGTAACATGCAATAACTAGAATCACTTAATATATCTTTTGATTATTTATATAATATTTTTTATGATTATGTTATCGTCCTGGTTATGCTTATTATTGAATTACTTAATTCAACAGGGAAAATAGTTTGTTTTCTTTGCTGAAACTTCCTCTTTTAGAGAAACTAAAACAAGAAGCTTTAGTTAATCCTATCGATACTTTGTATGCAGCACTAAAACTGGGACAGTTTGTGTAATTTAATACCAAACATCCCTGAATAGTCTTACTCATTTCAAGTGATTCTTTCTGAAATTAAGTACACAGAGGACATAGCTGGAAAATTCCAGGGGACATCTATGAGTTTCGTCCTTTTTGTTAGTGGTTTAGTAATAATCTGTCGTGCATATGCAGATTGCCATACACAATAGCATTGCCACTTATAGAATAACAATTACAGGATTGTTTACTAAATTGAGAATTGTTGGGAATTCAATGTGAATTTAAAGTTCATTTCAAGTGTAAAGCCAAAGTGGCTCTATTGGAAGCGCAACTGACTAACAGAGTAAATAACTAACATAAGAATTCAAAGTGAATGCAAAGAGAATATAATATTTAAGGCCAGAGTAGCTGAACAGAAAGCACGGCTGACTTAGAGAATTGTTCCAGTTCAGCTATGTTTACCTTGAATTTAAAGTTCACTTTGAATAATCACTTTATAGAATAACCCTGAAAATTTTACTTTGAATTCATTCTGAATTCCCTACAATCCTTACTTTGATATACTAGTAGGCTCCAAAAATGACCTCTGGACCATTCCGCATTGGACCAAAACAGCAAATAAATATCCACTGGTGGGGATTAAAATTAATTAATTGGCTCAATAAATTGAAGCTACTATCAGCTTTATATACTGTAAGTGAAATTAGATTTTTTCTCTTCTACTCAGCTACCAATGTACTACACCATATCTTGCACGCTGCCTTTTTCTCGTTACATATTGTCACGCTGACCCGGATTCGAGGACTTTCTCCATGGTGCTGCTTCACTAATTCTACACAATAACAATTCAAGGCCAGAAAGGGGAGACCCTGGTTTGGGTTGTTCCAGCTGCTTACCTGTTTGCCTAACAAGCGCTAAAAACCTATGACCCCGTCTTCATTTACTTTAATATACACATTGTAATTGAATGTATAGATCAAAAGTGACTTCTATTAAATTTTATTTACAAGAAATATTTATATTAAATTGCCATTTCAGGCACCATAATGACTTAATCCCCAGGTACCTTAAAAAGTTAAACTGCATATAAATGGTTTAAAGGGATATGCATCACTTGACAGTTAATATAGTAAACCAGCAAGCAAACACTTGTTATTTTAATTAAAAAATTTATTGAGGCAAAAAGGAAAAATACATCACAATGTGATCACATATACATCACACCAATAGTTCACAGACAAAATATAGTAAAGCACATAATGTAATAATACCTCATTTTTCATTTTTCATATCCAGGGAGGGATAAGGTGAGAGAGAGAAGTAAAGGGGGAAACCAAGAATTACATTTAGTTCTCTGATACTGATTCATAAAGGATCACTCACTCAGGGAATATTTTTTTTTTCTTTGACTGGTAAAAAATATAAATGGAAAGAATGTGGCGAAGATCATAGAGATTGGCAAAAAAAAAGAAAGATCTTGAGAAAAAAAAAAAGAGAAGAAGAAGAAAAAAAAAAAAAGTATAAAGCCAATTAAACGGATCTGATTAACGTCACCATGTAGCCCCTAGGGGGCATTAGATAATCAGCATCAGGTGTATGAATCTTTCCTAATATTTAAAACTAAAAAAATCTAACAAGGATAAAGAAAAGCCCTACCCCCCTAAGGGAAGAGCAAAGAAAAGAAGGAAAAAAAGCAAAATAATATAAGTAAATACTCAAAAGTAACAAAATATATTCCTATATCGAAATATAGTGATTACATTAAGGGAATTTCCCCCCTTGTGGTTGGTTCAGATCTCCTAAATGGCAACTAAAAAAATTAATGAGCCAAGGAATGCAACAAAGAGAGACAAGAAACAAGAGAATAAAGCAGAAAAGTGACTCTCCTTCTCCGCACAGACTAATAAATCTAATTCAGAGGGGAACGATTTGGAAGAAAGTATCATTAACATGCAAGAAGTAGCACAAACAAATCTATAATCTAATACAGACAAAGACCAGACTGTTACAAAGGTTTTTTTAGAATGTGCATTTGATTCTCTACAAGAAATATTTAAAATTGTAATCAATAATATAAGGATAGAAATTAAAGAAGAACATCATCAAATAAAGATACAAGTCCAAGAAAATTAAATGCATATACTGCAAATGAAAGAAAAGCTTCAGCAACAAGAGAATCTAATTAAAAAACAAGATGATAAAATTTGCAATATGGATAAAAAGATTGCTGAGCTAAAAGATCGAACAAGAAGGAATAATTTAAGACTTTAAGATATCCCTGAAACTATCATTCATGACCAGCTAGAAACCTATATACTGGAGCTTATAAAAGCTCTTGATATAGACATATCAGGATATAATCATGTTTTGGAAAGATATCATATGACCTTCAAACCGCCAGAAATTCATAGCTCAAAACCACGCGATGTTATCATATGTTGCACATCATCCAGACTCAAAGATCAGATTATAAAAGAAGGCAGCTTCAACATGGATGCTGTCCAGGAGGCGGGAGGGTCTGGGAGGGGGGGTCTGCTGGAGATTGGCCGGGATGTGTCAGCTGACCGCGGTTCGCCGCGAAAGGTTCATGGCGAACCGTTCGCGCAAAGTTCGCGAACGGTTCGCGACATCTCTAATTAATAGGTGATTGAAGAGGAAGAGAGATGGGGATCAGATGAAGGAATTCATAATGTAGGAAAAAAGAGATTAGCTCAGTTAGCAGACCTCTGCTCGGGTTGCCATTGTAAAAGGCAATTATTTTGGTGCCCCTGGTTTTGGGTAAGGTACCCACAGGGTAAAGATCCATATAACTAGAATATTTGAAGAAACAGAAAATTGATATCTGTGGTGTACAGGAAACGCATTGGAGAAAGAAGGACAATAACAACTTAAGATCTAAAATCTACACGACAGTCCTTTCTGCATCTCTTGAACACAATAAAAAACGAGGGGTTGCTATATTGATATCCAGAAATCTTAATTTCAGGAATATATATATAGCACTAGATATCGAGGGAAGATATATTATAGTAGTTTGTGAGATTGATAGCATCATATATACAATAGCTAATTTTTATGCACCAAACCATTCTTCATTAACATTTATAACTAAAGTCCTAAAAAGAATGGACATGGTTAAATAAGGAATCCCGGTGATTCTAGGGGATTTTAATTTAGTATTTGAGCCACTATTAGACAAAAAAACCATCACAGGACAGATATCAGATAGAGGAATTTTCAAACGTTCTGAAAAATTCAGACAGTTAATCCAAGATCACTCGTTATTAGATATTTGGCATATTTCTCATCCAACAGACTTAGACTTTACTTGTTTTTCAAAATCTTATTATGCATATTCCCGCATAGACTATGTGTCGGGGGATATTAATAAAGTGCAACAAACAAAATTAATTATAATAAATGAAATTACATGGTCAGACCACAATGCAGTCATTCTGGATGTTAAAGACACCTTTGAAATTCCAGGACCAGAATGGAGATTAAATAACAATATTCTGTCAAACAAAAAGAATATAGAATTTATTAAGAAACACACAGATTATTATTTTAAAGAGACTCAATCTGAACAGATCTCCCCCTCAGGAATATGGTGCTCATATAAAGAAGTGTTTAGGGGATTATTGATTAAACTAGCCTCTGAGAATAGAGATTACAGAGAAAGAGATTTAACTATCTTGCAAATTCAATTATATAATCTCTCAAGACATAATAAAATAACCCCTAATGAGCAGTGGTCGAACAGAATTTCTATCCTACAAGATAGAATTAATGAACTACTAATACTGAAAGTAAGTAAAACACTTGAAATAATAAAAAGCTACTTTCTACTATAGAGGTAATAGAGCAGATAGATTGTTAACCAAAAGACAATTAGAAAGAAATTAAACAAAAAAACAACATTTTATTTAAAGGTGAGACCTGTTTATCTCCAGAGAGAATAGGAAAGGCCTTTAATGATTACTATTATTCATTATATAATCTACCTCATAATCAATTCGATCCAAAAGATTATTTTAAAGATAAGATAATACCAAAGATCTCAGAATTTCAACTAAGAGAACTGAATGACCCAATTTCTCTACATGAAATATATAAACGGATAGAGACTTTGAAACCAAAGAAAGCGCCAGGACCAGATGGATTTACAGAGATTTTCTTTAGATTATTTAAAAATGAAATATCTCCATATTTAGAAACTACTTTTAATGAATTTATATTAAAGACTAAAATCCCACAGGAAATGCTTAAGGGCAATATTGTCCCAATAGTAAAACCAGGTAAGAACCCAGAGAAAGTAGATAGCTAATGGACGATCTCTCTTTTAAATATAGATATTAAGGTATATGCAGGAATATTGGCAGACAGGGTTAAACGAGTAGTTAGTCATATAATACATAGAGACCCTAAATTAGATAAGTCAACTATACCTTCATCTATGAATAATAAAAGAATCAACAAACAGGCCAAAAAATTACAGATTATTTGTAAACAATTTAATCTCTTTGATATTTGGAGATTACTACATCCCTTTCAAAAAGATTATTCTCACTTTTCTAGTGCCCATGGTACCTATTCAAGGATTGATTATTGTCTAATTGATTCAAATACAATTCCTCTTTTTAACTCTATTGTTATCAAGGATAATCCCTGGTCTGATCACAGCTTTGTTTTATTCGATCTTGGCAATAATCCACCCTTGTCTCGTACCACCTGGAGACTGAATGACTCGCTTATTAAAAACGAATATAACAGGGAGGAGCTGTCCAAGTTATTAGATTGTTTTTGGGCCGAAAACAATCCAGTTGATACTTCCCCTATGATTAATTGGTGTACTCATAAATCTGTCATGAGGGGCTATCTAATTAAAATGGGTCATATTTATAAGAAAAAGAATGGTAAGAATTTAAAAGATTTATATATTGAATTTTAATCTTGCTCTCATTTAAATAAACAATATTCCACTCCAGAGTTGAGGACTCATTTAAATCTTCTAAAACAACAAATTAATTTAAAGGAGGAAGAAAAGATTAAGTCCAATATAAATAAATTAAAGTTAAATAATTACCATACGGGCAATAGAGCTAACAAAAACCTAACAAAAAGACTTTGAAATCAATATGCGAGGAATAGGGTAGAAAAACTAGTTATTGATCAAATAGTTTATTCCACCCCCTCTCAAATAGGTCAAAAATTTTATCAATTTTATCAAGAATTATACAGTTTAAATCTCTACCCTAAAATAAATGACATCCAAAACTATCTACATAATACATTAATTCCGAAAATTACTTCACAAGATCTCGCATTTTTAAGTAAGAAAATTACCATGGAGGAAGTTAAGTTTCAAATAGATTACCCACAAATAAAACTCCGGGGCCCGACAGCTTCACAAATTTATACTATAAATATATGAAGTCACATTTATTAAATCACATTACTCAATTTTTTAACCAATTAGCGGAAAACAATACGATTCCAAAAGAATTGTTACAATCCAATCTCGTTCCTATATTGAAACAGAATAAGGATGGTAAGGACCCTAGCAATTATAGACCGATTGCGCTAATTAATGTAGATATGAAGTTATATTCAGCTATTATTGCTGAGAGAATTAAAACCATCATATCGAAACTTATCCACCCTGACCAATTTGGGTTTATCCCTGGAAGATGGGCATCAAATAATTCCTGTAGACTGATTGATATTATCGAAAAGGGAAAAGAATCAGCGCACTACTGCCACACAAATAAATAAAAAGGCAGCACCTCTGGGAGGGGAATCCCCTATAATCCCCTAAATATAAAGGTAAAATAGATAAAAGAAGAGATAAGGGTGCGCCTAAAATATATGATAGAACATATACACAATATATGATAAAATAAGCAAATATAAAATGCAAAGTAAAAATAATAGATAAAATAATAGTCCAAAAACACTTATCAAAAGTCCGTAATGGTGAAATATATATAAAAGAAGACAGGAGATCCTGAGACGTCAAAGTGGAGTGGAATCTTCACAGTGATATACTTGAATCCAATGAGGAGTATATGGAAGGGAAAAATGAGAGAATAAAAATATAGTGCTCTCTGTGTACAATAAAGCAAAGGAATGTAAAGTAAATTACTTACATTCTATAGAGCAGATCTATACTGCTCGGTATAAACGCCTGGGTGGTATAATCCCCACCTATGGATTCTTTGGGTTCCTTGTGGATGTAGATCAGGTGCACGAATAAGAATGAAATTATAATGAATTATAAGTAGACAATATAAAAAGAATATAAGGGAAAAATGGCAATAAAATATTCTATGCCAAATTAAATTCTTTATTATAAAGTAATTAAAATAATATCTATACGCGTTTCGCCTAAAAAGGCTTCATCAAGTAGATAATCATAAAAGAAAGGCACACCTGACATACAAAGATTTATATAACATACAATAATGTTAAAAAAATTTAAAATTCCCGCCAAAATGATGTCATCAGAACATTAATATTATAATAGTGTTCAAAACAATTATTGAAATATATATTGATATAGTAAAAGAATATATAAGATAAATGTATAGAGCTGATATAAAAACGAGCATTAATAATGCTAAAATAACATAAAAGAAAGCGATCACGTGACCCGCGGCTCGATTCACTTACGCGTCACGTGATGCTCAAGTGGAACGCATGCGTTCCGTCTCTATGGAATGCATGCGTCATAATCACGCGACACGCGACACAAATTATTTCCGCGTCACGTGATGCTAAAATAGGACGCATGCGTTCCAAACGGAACGCATACGTCAGAGGGTGGGAGGGCTGCTGAATGAGAGTAGGAGGAGGGAAGTCTCGATCCCCTAAAAGCCTCCTAACCTGCTCTGATAACGCCCTCAGTTAAATACATGTACAGAGCACACCTCAAAATATGGTGTGCTCTGCATATATAAACAAAATTTTATTGATGTGATTGGTGGTGTTATGTAACGCTGGGAGTGAATCTTGTAAATGGTGGAGTGAGTGTCTGGATTGAGTATTGGAATATTTATTAGTAGCATGTGATCGATAGGAGTGATAATTACGTGATGATGTGAAAGAAGGCTTTCTTGCAGGGGGGTGAGGGGGATATTGGATTACTCTTTTAGGTAAACGGTGGTAGTGTGTCTGGTCATTTTGATAAGTATTAGAGGATGGGTAGATTCTATTATCTGGAGTATTTCTTTTGTGGTAGGAGCGGACCTGGTTGTTAGAATAATCCTGTTTGTCACGGATATATTTTTTTACCTTAATATGTTTTGTGTCCATTTCCACTTTTTCAATTTTATTCTGTATCAGAATAGAATTTTGTTTGAAAACTTGTGTTTCTGTAAATGT